GCCGCCCCCGCAATCGTCGCGTCCGCCGAAGTCTGATCGTCCCGACAGCCCGAGAACATCCACACGTCTTTGCCCTCGGATTCCCAATTCTCCTGAAAGTTTTCCTTCGCCAGCCCCTCTTCGTCGGCCCCTCTTCCGTACCGTAAGCTATGAAAGAAGTCAGTGGCGCCGCCCAGAAGCATCTTGGCGTCATCGACCTTGTCCATCGAAAGCCCGCCTCCCAAGAGATCCCCCGCTGCCCGAACCAGACCAACGCCTTTCTTGAAGGTGTCTAGCATGTTGACATTGCCCTCAGCATCTGGGCGGAATACGAAGGGCAACTCGCACGCGGAACCGGAGTGGCAGCAGTCGAAGAGGATGGTCAGGCGCGCATCCGGGTGCATGGGAGACACAATCGCTCGGTGAAGCTAGACTTGTCAGCCGTACAGTTGCGTCGATGGGGTGCTTTGCAGCTTACGACATCACTCGTTATCTGCCCATTTTCCGCAAAGTCGATGGGACAAATGGTATCGTCAAGCCTGGCAGAGTGTCAGCAGGGCTTTCCTCACGTACTATATGCACCCTACCCAGAAGCCCGCTCTCCTTCAAGATCCTTGACCTGTCCTAGTCGGTATTAGCCCCGCACTCGCCCCCAAAGTCGTCCGCTAACTCACCTCCATGCCCAGAATACGACAACCACAGCACGTCTCCCGGCCCGTTGTCCGTCACGAGCCACTTAAATGCGGCCAAGATGTTATGGTGCGTGGGGTATAGCTCGGTGCCTTCGTTCTCTGGGTCATCTGTCAGGATGGTCATCTCGCCCTCGCCATGTGGTGGGAAACCCCTGTCGTTGACGAGGAAGTCGCGCACGTTCATGGCATCGTTGATACAGCCGTTGAGCGCGTGCTCTGTGCCGGCATAGTTGATGCCGATGATGAGGGCCTTCTTGCGCGGCATTTTTTGGGAGTTCCTCGCTGTAGCCGGTTGGATCTGGTTTGCCTGTTCAGTGAGAGCGTGGCCACGAAGTTGATCACGTAGATAGGTCTCGACGGTAATGGATTCAGCAAAGACAGCGAGGCTTCCAGCCAGGTTCGAAGAGGGGAAGTTTGCGGCAGGTGCATCACAACACAATGGTGCGCGCATCCGAGACGTTTGTGCTCGTCGCACTGGTGTTCATCCAATTGGGCCGCCAACCATAGGTCGCCCCCTCATGCACGCGACGGAACTAGCCGATTGAGGCACCATGGCACTTCATTTACGTACCTTGCCAGGCCCTCGCTGGATATCTGAAGCCATCGCCAGATCATCGCCCCTACGAACTACACATCACAGGTTCGTCCCGCCTCTCGCTTGCTTCGAAGAACTCTTCTTCCTCTTCCTCTTGACGCACGCCGTCCTCTCCCTTCAGCCCCACCGTTACGACACCCTGCGGCGCATCCTGGCCAACCAAGGCCAACAAGTGGTTGAAAGCTTCACGTAGAGCCAGAGACTGCGGCGTCATGTCTTCAATGTTGGCCCTCTCTCGGAACAACTGCCGCGGCGTCTTCCCTGTACTATCCCTTCCCTCCCTGTCCAACCCTCGCAGAGACTCGGCCTTCGAAGCAAAAATGCGCATCATTTCCACATCACCAGCGATGGCTAACAAGTGGAGGAAACTACGGTCGCTTTCGTTAATGTTGGAAAGGTCGGCGCCACGGTCGAGGAAGAGACGAGCAGCCTCGTGGCGACGGAAGGCGACGGCTTCGTAGAGGGCTACGTCACCGTCATCGTCACGGTTGTTCATGTCGGCACCGTGGTCCAGAAGATACCGTATGACCGGTATTGATCCCGCCGATGCGGCGAAGGCGAGGGCGTGGGCGCCGTACGTATGTGCGGTGTTCACGTCAACGCCGTGCTGGATCAGCAGTGCTACCACGTCCACCGACCCCGCGGCGGCAGCTAGGTGAATGGGGCCGAAGCCCTGATCGTCGCGCGTGTCCACTCCAGCGCCATGCTGCAGCAGGAGCCGAGCGATCTCAGTGTATCCACCCCGAGCGGCATAGTGCAGTGGGGTGCGGTCATGATTCATCGGTTCCGGGGCGTTCACGTCGGCGCCGGCGCGGATGAGGGCGACCGAGGCGTCAAGGTTGCCCCGACGGATGGCCAAGTGCAGCGGCTGGTCTCCAGTCCATGCACGCGCACTGAGCTGTGCTCTCACATTCTCCTTGTGCAGCACATCCTCGAGCCGTAGCGGGAGCATCCCCAGGATGATCCTATGCAAGACAGTGTATTTCTCCTCATCTTGCAGGAGGTCGTCCACCCGAAAAAGTTGGGATAGCTGTTTGCCCCATTCAGTGCCGCTCTCAAACTTTGCTGTCACGGCCATTAGCGGCGTGTTGCGCACCGCGTCCTCTTCGTTCGGGTCAGCGCCAGCTTGGAGGAGCAGCCGCACAAGCCGAATGTCATGAATGCCCGACTTGACGGCGTACAACAGCGGCGACTCGTCTCCAGCTATTGGCAACACGTCGTGGACGGAGCCGCGGCGGTCCCGCAACAGCGACTTGAGCCCCGCCAAATCGGCGCGATCGATGTAGCCAAAGATGCTGGTTGTCCGCCGTTCGATGGTGATGGCGTGGCGCACGCGCAGCAGCAACTCGGGTCCCCCAAACAGGGCGGTGGAGAAGAAGAGGCAGATGACAATGTTCAGCAACCAGGCCGGGAACTGGTAGTGGAACTTTACCGTCTCCCCCGTCTTGGCCTTACGACTCCGGCAGGACGCGTCGTCGCAGCGAGTCCACCGCGTCAAGGCGCCCGAGTAGTCGAGCGTGGCCGATCCAAACACCTTTTGCAGGGACTGCAACTGCCACTGCTGCTTTCCCCGCATCGCGGCTCCGGCTCTCCTCTTTTGCTGCCAGTGGCACCGGCAGAGGCAGCTTCTGTCGCACTGCCCGAGGAGCGGATTCTGCGACAGGGATTTCGAGGTTGCCATGCCCACCATAAAGGCGTCCACCGAGCTGAATTCGGACCTTGACGAGTGAACACCCGTGCTATCGTCTATTCTCGCCCCGATGTGGCTGGAAATTGTCTCGAGCCTCTTCTCGATTCTCAGCACGGTGCTATCCTGGGACTGATGGATGGCCTTGGAAAGCATCTCCTCGCTCTCCCGAATCTGAGACAAGATGTCTGCTTCCGACTCAGCCAGCGACGACATGACAGCCATGGATATAGTCACGTTCAGAGAGATCAAGCTGGCGCAAATGCCCATGCCGATTTCTTTAAACATGGTCCGAAGTCGCCCTATCCTTCCGGCTTTTGACAGCCACACCATCCTCCGCCGCTTGCTGAGGGCTTCCGGTTTCGCATCCAGCCAGGAAATCGATTCAGTCTCGCTCTTTTCATAATACCGGCCGTCGGAAATGCGGTGAACAATGGTCTCGATCTCGGAGACGACTGCAAGGCCCTTCTTGAGCAGCACCTCGAGTTGGCGCAGCGGTTCCTTCTCCACGGCGTCGGAGACAGGGTGGTTAAGGCGGAGCTTGTCAATTCCCACCTTGACCTGCGCGAGAAATTCTTGGGCGCGGACCAGGTCATCTCGCAGGTAGTGGAGCTCCTTCGGCGCGTCCCGCCAGGTGTCGCAGAGGCCCCAGAGGTCTGCGGATGTTCGTATCGTGATGTTGGTTATGCCAATAACTGCTGCCGCTATCTCCATTGTGAGGGGCGAGGAAGCATGCAAAGTTGTTGGAAGTGTGTAGGTAAGTGAGTAGCAGTGGCCTTCTCTACCTATACCATACCTGTAGGTAGGTCAGGTAACAGTAGACTCGGACGGGTGGGGAAGCGAGTCGTTCCCATTATCTACTACCGGCCGAGATATGCCATGTAACAGCCGCTCCAATGCTCATACCCTCCCAAATAGCCGCTGCAAAAGGACTGCCAATCAAGACCCGGAGATTAGAGATAATGCTCGCCTATGCCGCCACAGCGTCGTATGGTACCTAATTGCACTGCTGATATTTATCGGGTAATTGGTAGCAGCTGAACGGGGAGAGTCTCCCGGATCTGCAGCCTTGGTGAAAACCATATGCAGCTGCAGAGAAGGAATATGCCCGCAACAGGCAGGTGGTAGACGGTGTTGTGAACTCCGAGGAGCCTGCAGGCTAGGCATCCTAATGGTTGCTCGAGGTCGGGTCTACGCCAGGTGCTCGGCAGAGTTCAATGCTGTGGCGAATTCCGTAGGATGGAACCATGTCTGAGCTGTCACGGTACTGCTAACCGGGCGGGTGGGTATTAAGTGGAAAAATAGAAAAGTTAAATCCAAGCCCTTAACGCAAGTGGCTTATTTTATACTTTAGGCGTACCGACGTTAACCTTATAAAGGCCAGCAATCAGAAACCTCTCAAGGTATAAAACCACCCCTCTGCCATCGCCTTTGTCCTCTTCCTCTTTTCCACAACATCACACACACACACACGTACTCAACAACTCAGCTCCCCTTACAGGTCCCCTTACCCCGACTCCACCTACATGTACAAGACATTGCAAAACTTCCTCAATGTCCTTGGGGTCAGGACTAAGGACTTGCAACCGTACGGCCTGGAAACGACTGCGGGCAAATAGATCGGGATGAGTCGAGGTACTCTGTGCTGATCTTCAAAGTGTTCCGTGGGGAAAAACAGAGACTATTGTGCCACATTTCACAGAGCGGGCCACAACAAAGACCCCAGAGCCTGAGACAAAGCCTTGTTTACTTCGATTCCCGCCGAGCCCCCTATTCGTTACCCAGCCAACTAAGGAATTCCACCCGCGCAACACGGTTGAGAAAACGTCCAGTGGCTGCAGTCATAAAAGTATTGCCGGAATACTCAGGATCTGTCTCAGACCAGAAAACATTTGAACCTGGAATCCATCATCCGCGCAACCCTCTGCGCATGTGGTTGCAGACTCGAAGTTGGCTACACCTACAAAACTTGCACTTCACAACTTGCAGACACCGTACACGCAAGGCACGACGCACGATACCAACCATGCATTTCAACAAATTCCAGTTCTTGGTAGTGTAACGGTTAACATATCGCGCTTTCACCGCGAAGCTCCGGGTTCGATTCCCGGCCAGGAAGTTTTGTACTTTTGGGGAGGTTGATCCCCAGGCTCCAGTGTGGAGATCACATTTTTAGCTGCATGACCCACATTCTCATGACACGAGCAGGCTCTTTCTTTTTTCCTCCTGCAAGTACATCTACTGGAGAGAATCTGTAGTAGGTAACGACTGTGTGCAGGTTGGGTTTTGCACTTTGCTATTGCTCGGATTGCGATGTCCTGGTTGCGGTTGTTGGTAACCTCGACCCCTTTTTTTGCGGTTGTTGGCAACCGCCACGACGGTTTGTTTGCCCTCAGTCCTGACCCAAAACTGTCCCATCATGAGCCATTGACCCCAAGTGGCAGCCGTGTTGAACGCCGCCCCGCCCGATGATACCCTGTCTCAACGATTGTTCACCCTGGGTGCCAGACATTTCACCCCTGGGTCTAGGCCTGCCCCAGCCCCAACAGTACCAAATTCGCAACGTTCATCACTGCGATGAGAAGCCACACGAGGCCAGCAATGATGGTCAGCCACCACGTATTTGCCATCTTAATCCCGTCGGCATTCCCACCTGCATGTGACAGTCCACCCCTTCGGCGGGCGAACAAAGCCGTCTCCTCGGCATCCTCGACGTGGAAGCGCGCCATGCCTGGCCTGACGCTCATGTACTTGTTCGAGCAGGTGAAATAGATCAGCGGCGCCGTCACAAACGGCAAGACGCTGCTCAGCACCACCTGCGACGCCGTTAGCACCGTGTTGAGGCCAGATCTTCCAACAGCCCCTGCGATGATGATGGACGGCGTGATGCTGATCGAGCGAGTGACGAGGCGGCGCACCCAGGGCTTCATCTTCCAGTTGAGAGCGCCCTCACTGACCATCTGTCCTGCAATAGTGCAGACGATTCCAGCGGAAATTCCAGAAAGAAGCAGCGCGAGAGCGAAGATGGTGCCGGCTGCTGGGGAAATGCTGCGGGACAAAAGAGCGTGGATGGCGAAGATGTCTTCTTCGCCGATGGCGTCAGGATTGTTGTACAGGGAGGCGCCAGCAACGATGAGAATGGCGGAGTTGACAAACAGGGCAAAAGTAAAAAGGGACAGTGCGAGCTCTACGATGGAGTACTTGAGGCTGTGCTTGATGGCGGCTTGGGAAGGGATGTAGTAGATCTTTTCCACGCCGCTATCAGTGGACGAGGCACCTGAGGTAAGCTCCGCGGGGAGGAGCCCGCGTTTCGCGTCGTACTCGCGGAGACGGGGCTGAACAATCCCGGAGCCGAGGAAGAGGCTGTGGGGCATGACAGTTGCGCCGAGAATGCCACACGCCTGGTAGAGTCTGAGGACAATTTAGCGTTTTCCAAACATCACAGTTGGGAAAAACCTACCCTTGTTGCTCTACAATCGCCCCCGAGGGGAGGTAGCCTTTGAACACTTCTCCCACAGTGGTGCCTGTTATCAGTGATAGCTGGATGCAGAAGCAAACAACGACTCCAAGGACCAACAAGCAGACAAACATTTCGAACAGTCTAAGACCCTTCATTGAGCTGGATGGATTGTAAAAGAAGAGAATAACCATGACGTCGAGGATGGAGAGTGCGCATCCGGCGATCAGGGGAAGTTGAGGGATGAGCAAGTTGAGCGCTATGGCAGTACCGATGACCTGATGGCATTAGATCGGTCGCAGTCACAGGGTGATATCGAGTTCCCACCTCTGCAATGTCTGTTGCAATAATCGCTGCCTCGGCTAACCCATACAACAGGTAATTCAGCCATCGTGGGAGGAAAGCGCGGCAGGCGGACGAGAGATCGAGTCCAGTTACAGTGCCAAGTTTGATAGCAAGACTTTGCAAAAGGATGGCGAAGAGATTGCTCAGGAGGACAATGAATAGAAGTTTGAACCGATATGAAGCGCCAGCGGCGATGTCCGTGGCGTAGTTTCCGGGATCAACTTTGAAGAGTCAGCAAAGCTCACAAATGTGGGAAACTCAAAAGGCCACCAACTGTATGCGACGGCAATCATGAACCCAGGACCAACAAACTGAGCATACGTGAGAATGATCTGCTTGATGCGGGACAGACGAGAAGACTCTGGCTGACTGCTGCCGCTGTGGTAGGGCGGAGTGGACTTCGAACGGGCCTCGACCTCCACAGCGGCAGCTTTCTCAGGATCGCCATCTTGTCCTGCCCCATCAAGCCGACCGACGGAAATACCGTCGGACGGCTTCCTCCTTCCCAATCTCACTCCGCCAGGATCGTCATTCGGGCCGGAGTCGATATTATCGAGCGCGGTGCGTGATGAACCAGGTATTGCGTGAGCTGCTTGAGTCCGGATCTCTCTGGAGTTTGCGATGCCGTTGAGGTCTTCATTTGTGGTCAAATCGGCCGCCAAATAATTGGGGCTTTGGTTGTGGCCCTTGCCCTCATAGGGCTCATCGGTCCTGGAAGGGCAGGAGCACATGCTCCCGAGAGAGGCCTTGGTCTCGGCCGAGAGACTTTGGCGGTTGAGGTGCTTCCCTGTTTCTGTTGGTGGTCCGGTCTGATGGCCCGATGAATGAATGCGGGTTGTGTTTTTTTGGGGGCGGGATCGCTTCGCCTCCACGCACGTAGCCGTTAGTGGAACTGGATTGGGGAGGCATGATCAAACGGCTCACCTTGAATTGCTCACCGCACACCGAGGTGTCGGCAGCCTTTGACCCCACTTCGAATAGTTCGACACCAAGCCAAGCTTGTGGGGACGACCAACGAACTTCAAATCGCCACACTCCGTGATGGAGAGGGTTCCATGGCGCCGAGACAGCTCTATCCTGGACACTTAAGTCTTGGCTTGCTGCTTGTCATCTTCGTAATCAGGTATCACCGATCGGGGAGCCATAGCGATCGCGCAAGCTCACGTACGCAACTCACGCAGCGCAGGCGGGCACCGCAGGCACTGCAGGCACTGCAGGTGCGGGAGCCCGAACATCGGAAGATATGGCTTCCGCTCAGTCACGTCGGTCACATGGCCGCCGCTGCTCCGTGCCGCTGACAGTGGACCCAAGCCCAGCGAATAATCGTCATAGACGCTGCCTCATTCGAATTGGAGCGGTGTGGTGTGGTGATGGGCGCCGTGCTACGGAATGCTGCGTGGAGTGGCTCACCAGCTCCCGAATTACGCGGCGCGGATGTGCGCCCTCCCGTGCCGCTGCGTCTTCCACGCACCACACTGGTCTAGCACGGCTGGCAGCGGCAGGACAGGTTTCCTCTGAAGTCGCTGAACTCAAGTACCGGTATTCGGAGAGCGCCCAGGCGGTCAGGTGCTCCCTTTCCATTATCTCTCACGCACTTGCAGACGAGCCATCCAAGTTGGGGAGGCAGGCTTTTGGTCCGGTCAATCAAGCAGTCGCCTCCCGTCGGCGCATCCCCAATCCCGGTACTCCGAAAGCCGAACGGCACGAATAACGGCGCGGCACCACCTGCCACGGCAGGCCCTGACAGTCAACTCCAGACGGAAGGGGCGAGAAAACCCTTCCCTTTCAGCGGTCCTTCCCTCTGGGCCTCGGAGGTCCGTGCTCCCCGCATCAACCCCCACCACCCCAAGAACAATTGCTTGTTTGCTCGACAAACTCCGAAACATCAATCCACTTTCCAATTCCCTGGGATCTCACTGTGGAACTGCGGCAATCACGGCTCCTCAATCTGAGACGTCCCAACTAGGGGTTCTTGGCAGATCTTGCCTCGGATTTTTGCCCATTCGATTGCCACCCCGGAGCTTTATCAGAAGCCAAGACTCCCCTTCCAGAATTCTTGACCGCACATCTTCCCAAGCCAAGCCACCCACCTCATCCCATGATATAGCGACCTCGGCAAAACTACCGACAAACCATGGCGTGCGGCTCAAGTTGTTGCGGGCCCTCGAAGGATCCCGAGCAGGCGGTCGCGCAGCCATTGGCTCATCAGCCGACACCTTCGAAACAGAAGAACAACAGTGACAATTGTTTCGCTCCGGATCCGAAGCGCGACGATGGCTGCAAGGATTCATGCTGTGACGGTGAGAGTGAATCGGCCACCGATGAGAAGCGCGAACCGGCTCCAAGCGGCTGTCAGAGCGGCTGCTGTGGTGAAAGCCCAACGGGGCAAGCAAACACGTCGAGAGCCAATTCATCGCCGAGCCGCGACGAAGGACAAGACTGCTGTGCTCCCGTCGCTGCCGTTCCGCACAGCAGTGAAGATTGTTCCAGCCCAGCTCAATCACCAAAGAACGTCACCAACCCGACAGAGCCCGAATGCTGTGATGGCACCACAGTGCCTTGCTGCGATGACTCCTGCCTGGACCGGCTTGCCCTCCGGGCATGCGAGAGTGAGAAGACGCCTGGGCTCGAAGTGAAGGAGTCAGCTGTCGGTATGTTTATATTTACCCCCCACGATTCACGGTGTGCCATGGTGAAGTGCTCTAAGTGACTCAATCTTTTAAGCCTATGCGTCGACCATCTCCCTCAAAAGCTCAGAATGCCACGGTGTCGAAGACGACAAACCTTGCGGATACCACAAGCGCGTTACTCGCGATCGCTACGCTACTACCCTAGCGGCTCTCGGCTGTATCTGTCGCGCCTTGTTGGCCCTCGGGCAAGAGTCTTGTTGCACTCCGAAGCAGCGCTCATCCATCGACAGGAAGCAGGGCCGAAGACGCTCTGCCTCCAGGTCGAGCTGCAAGAGCGCCATGTCTGACACCTCTTCCGACTCTTGCTGCGCAAAGCCAGGAACTTCGGCTGCGCACCAACACCACCAGTCCCGCAAGGTGTCCCACGCTCGAGCTCACAAACACTCCCACCCGCTTGGTCATGATCACGATCACCTGCATGGAACCGAACTTCCTATGCTCGCAAAGACGGAGCCTCACTCTAAAGGGCCAGGCCGCGGTGGTCCCACTGTCAAAGTCAAGGACTGCGATGCCCAGAGCAACGCTGACTCTTGTGGAGATTCCTGTTGTGGCGACGACAAAGACGAAGGGATCACGCAGGTTTCCGCAAACCCGCCTTCCTTGGCCGACGTCGAAAAGGGCCACACC